CCAGCCGGACCCGTTATGAGGACGAACAATCCGGATCGGACAGCGACCTGCCAGAGGGCGGTGGTGATCCCTCGGAGCGGTCGGCGCTCCTGGGACACAAGGATCGTGCGGGCAACTACACCGACGAGGATGCGCCCGTGGGAGTGCCACATGCGACCGATGACGATCTGCACAAGTCTCACAACCACGCCCAACCCAAGCCCCAGGATCACGGCCACGGCCACGGCCACGGCCACGACCTCAACATGCGCGGCGTCTTCTTGCACGTGATGGGCGATGCGCTCGGCAACATCGGCGTCATCGCGTCTGCCCTCATCATCTGGCTGACCGATTACTCTTGGCGGTTCTACGTGGACCCCGGTATTTCCCTGGTGATTACCGTGATCATCCTGCTCTCCGCCATTCCCCTCTGCAAGGCCGCCTCGCGGATCCTGCTGCAGGCGGTGCCCCACGGGCTCAGCATCGACCAGATCAAAGAGGACATCGAACGCCTGCCGGGGGTCATCGGCTCGCACCACCTGCACGTGTGGCAGTTGAGCGACACCAAGATCGTGGCGTCCATCCACATCCAGGTGGACACGGAGATCAAGGGCGAGGGCTCGGAGCGCTACATGCGCCTGGCCCGACAGGTGCGCAAGTGCCTGCACGCCTACGGCATTCACTCCTCGACGATCCAGCCCGAGTTTGCTCCGGACAGCGATGTCGAGGATACGCTGACTGCGCCGTCCTCCGCCCGCGGGGGCTCGGCGTCGCGCACGGTGCCCAGTCGCACGCCCAGCGTGCCGGAGGGCGATCCCCAGGCGTGCCTGCTGGAGTGCGGGGAGGAGTGTGCGCGGGGTGGCCAGTGCTGCCCCAAGAAGTCGCCATGATCCATGATCTAACCGGACTTGTTGTCTTCCTACCTTCTTTACTTCCACCATAATATTTCCTTTTTGTCTAACATACCCGATACCTTTTGTACTGGACCTATGCGTTGGGCTGGCCATTGTGATGATGCGTCTCATAAACTTGGTGTATGTTGGGAGGCTCCTAGAGTGCATGTGAGGGTCTTGTCATGACCCGCGTGCCTGCATTCTTTCTGTACTATTCTTCTGGTATTCATATCCACATTCTTGCATTGATTGTCTTTCTTCTTTCTCCCGCTGAAACGGTTTGTGTTGCAAGGTGGCCTCTCATATGCTCAATATTGGGGGCGGCTTGGCCATCGTCCGTAGACCAGTAGTGCTGTAGAAGAGACCACTAGTAGCAAGTCGATGCAACCAGACAAAACATGAGACCCTGGCGGTCGGGTGCTGATTGGCCCCGGCGCGTCTCCGCCCAGCCCGCCGCCCACGTGACGGCCCCGGCGGCGATCCCCCTTGGGCCCAGGCTTCCAGGCTCCCCAGCTCCCCATGCGCTTGCTTCCACCTCATCTCGCCCCGTCACGCCTGCGGATGTCTGGTGTGTCTTTCGCTTCCTGCTGCTCTCTGACTCTCGTGGATGCGTCCTGGTGCTTGATCCCTGGCGTGCCGACTGCTCGCCGTCCTCTCGTGTCAGCCTCGGCGCGGCAATGCAGACACGTTAGCTGCGCTGGCCAATCCACCGGTTGAACAGCAACCATGAGCTATTCATACTCGCACAGCACTGCCGCAGATTCCTCCTCCACCGAAGGCTGGCGTCGACTACTGCCATGGACCAAAAAATGGGCCTCGGGGCTCCAGGAGGAGCTGGGTAGCCGAAGCGGACTGTGGTCGCTGCTGAAGCGGGTCATCGCATACATATTCACCGTCTCGAACGGACTGATCCTGCTATGGATCTCAACATTGTGGTGGGGAGAACGGACCGTCTTCCAGGACAGCGTCAAGACGTGTGCTTGGGCCAATTGGGAGAAATGGGTGAGTCTCCAGCTGGGACGGCCACTCGACCTCTACTGACCAATTCGTCTCCGGTATAGCCTCAAGGCGCAGCGCCCCATCATGTCGCCTTCATTGCTGACCCCCAGCTGGTCGACCCTCACACCTACCCGGGCCGACCGTGGCCACTATCCACCCTGACCATCAAATTCACCGACCAGTATCTCCGTCGCTCCTTCTCGTCCCTGCAACAAGAGCTGGGCCCCGACTCCGTGCTATTCTTGGGGGATCTCTTCGATGGGGGGCGCGAGTGGTCCACTGCCCACAGCGCCAGTCCGGAGGGGCGGTATCGCAAATACAACGATCGGTTCTGGAAGAAGGAGTTCCATCGCTTCGTGAAAATCTTCGCCGATCCGTGGAACGAGGGAGATGTGCACATCAAACACCCCGTCGGGCGGAGGCTGCTCACCGGCCTGCCTGGCAACCACGATCTGGGGTTTGGCTCCGGCATCCAGATCCCCGTTCGCGATCGGTTCCAGAGCTTCTTCGGCAAGAGCAACCGCGTCGACGTGATCGGGAACCATACGATTGTCTCGGTCGACACGGTCTCGCTGAGCGCCATGGATCAGCCTGACCCGGAGACGGGCAGCTCAGGCACTGGCACCGGCGACGGCGCACAGCCAAACGCGCCCATCTGGAAGGACACGCAGGATTTCCTCGACCGCATGAGCGTGTATCGGGGACGGGCGGAGGTCGAGGCTCTGCGCATGCTGGGAAACCAGAGCGAAGGCCGTCTCTTCCAGCACCGCGCGGTGGACATCCTGGAGCCGTCGATTGCGCACACCGCTCAACCGGAGGTCGCGGGGTTCCCCACGATCCTCCTCTCGCATGTCCCGTTGTATCGACGACCGGCCACGCCGTGCGGCCCCCACCGCGAACGACACCCCCCGTCTAGTCCCGACCTGGAGGAGGACGAGCGGAATGCCATCCCCATGGGCCGTGGCTACCAATACCAGAACGTGCTGACGCCGACAATCTCCCGAGACATCGTATCGAAGGTGGGGCCCAATCTCGTGCAGATGTACTCGGGGGACGATCACGATTACTGCGAGATGTCGCATCACGAATTCAACGGGTCGCCCGCGGAGATTACGGTGAAGAGCCTGTCGTGGGCGATGGGCATCCGCCAACCGGGGTTCGTGCTCACCAGCCTGTGGAATCCCATCGACCCGGCCACGGGCCAGTCCCTGGAGACGTCATCCGGGCGGAGTCTCCAGAACCACCTGTGCCTGATGCCAGACCAGCTTTCGATCTTCATCTACTACGGGCTGATCTTCGGGGTTACTCTGGGGATACTCTTCCTCCGCGCCGTCATCGTCACCCACTGCCCCTCCGCCCAGGGCAGTCCCGCCGATCCCATTCTCCCGCTGTCGGAGCACCGCTCGCCCCGGCCGCGTCCGGCCCGGTACAAGACCCCCTCGTCCAGTACATCCAGCTCGACGTTCCCGTCGCCGGGCGGCCTCGCCAGCCGTGCAGTGAACGCCACGCCGCTGTACCCGTCGTATCCCGGCGCCGAGACAGGTGACGTAGGCAGCCCCAAGTGGAAGCCGACGCGGGCCGCGTCGAAGACGACGATGATCCGCGCCGAGCTAGTGACATCGGTCAAGCAGGTGGCCCAGGTGGTGTTTGCATGGTATTTCTTTCTCATCTGGCGTTGGTAGACAAACCAGGACATGTGCGGTGATTGAGGCGATTAGGAAAAGTGTACATAGGTTATATATTCGTCGGACGGGCCGAGCGCATTTGTTAGTTGTTTAATAGTTGTTTGTTTGTTTGTATGTTACTGCAGCCGCATCTGCATGGTCATGGTCGATGGCGTTGGGTAGAACGGATTGCTGTTTTCATCGTATGCCTTTCAAGCAATATTTTAAATCTTGCTGTCGTACTACTACTTATCTGTTCTCATCAGTGTTGCAAGAACTAGACTACCCGCCTAGGTACCTGGTGTCTTATTCCTCCCCCAAGTACAGAGTAAAACTGGTAAGGACCAGAAGTGGTTCATATACTTGATATAGCCTAACTTCCTCCTCGTTTTCACATCAACAGGTGCCGTGGTCTAGTGGTATGACGTCACGTTGTGGAAGTGAGCTCCTAGTTCGCCAAGCAACCCCGTGTTAGCCCCGGTTCGATTCCGGGCGGCGCCAAGTTCTTTTTTTTTTTAATTTTTTTTTCGGGAAGGCTTTTTATGTATTGATTGATGATATTTCCTTCCTTCATTTGTATATCTTTTTTTTTTTTGGTGCGTTATGGGTGGGATTCTTGATGCCTGAAGGTATGAATATCTATGCTGTGTTATTTCTTGGCTATTGCTGCTGTGAGGGGCATGCCTTATATATAACTTAGCTTGGGCGGTGAGTATGATATTTACGCTAGTATATACTATAGTAGTATAAGACAGGAAATTGTTCCTGTGTTCAGGGGCTGGCTGTTCTTATGTTTGAGGGCTGTGATACTGAATTTTATCTGGTCTGATGGGGCGGGGCTTCTGGCTGCTTGCTAGGCTAGGTAGGAAAGCTAATGTTGGCTTTACTGGTGAATAGTGAGTAACTGTTCTGTGGTATTGATATGTATTTGGGATGAAGACAGACAGAAGTAAGTAGACTATTTATCGAAGGTGGTGGGGATAGTTGGGGTTGGAATCTGGATATTTTGTGGGAGATTGGGGTACTACTGAGTACATATATATCCTTTTGGTGAATGGGATCCTACACTTTGTTTCTAGTTTGAGCTAGATCAACCCCCACAAAAATGTATATCTAGGCTGCTTAACTGTCTCGTGGGATAAAGTATTTAGAGTTATAGGTATTGTGTTTCACAGGATTATAGGTTTTTAGAATTTGATGCATGTGGGTTAAACATAATATGATGTAATACACCCATGTCCTGTTTGGATGGTAGTCTGTAATTGAGAACCGGGTGAATTAACAGTGATTATTATGGGTTCTATAGTAAAAGCAGCTCATATTAAAGATTATATAAACAAAAAAGAAAGTAGGTAGATATCAGTAAAAAAAGAGAATAAGAACAATTGAGAAGAATAACCGAGTGTATAGACCCTTATGAAAAACTAACAACACAGACCGAAACCCGAATCATTTTTCACAACAATCCGATATGGTGTAACGGCTAACATCGCCGCCTTTCAATCTCCAATTGACCGCGGCAGCTCGGGGTTCGATTCCCCGTATCGGAGATCGCATCTTCTTTTTTTTTTTTTTCTTGAATTTATTTTTGCTCCTCCTTCCAATGCTTCTCTGGCTCTATTGATCCTTCTCCCCACCACAATCAACCCTCCTCCCACCATGTCTGTCTACTGTCCATGTCTATGATGTGTTCCCAACCTACCCCCCCACCCACCACCACGCGTCCTCCCTGCTTGGCAGCTCCCCCAGCTCGTGTCACGGCCTGAAAGCGGCTGGGATGGGCAGTCCCTGCGCGCAAACTCTTCCCCAGGCCCGCCCTCTCGCCAACTCTAACCCTTACCCACACCCAGTCTCCGTAGGCGTAGTGACTAGTAAGGACTGAGGGCACTCAGATAAACTCCGCCCCAAACCCTGAGCGTCTCGAATGCTCTGGTCCCGTTGGCCAGGCCGGCGATATGTCGGGGATTTGGGGGGGAAAATCCAATCAGGATCGGGGGATCGCCTGGGCCAGTGGCGGGGGAGAAGCCTGGTACTACTAAGATTCTCTCAAGAGTCTCAGAGAAAGGGCTTGTTGATTGTAACGCGCGCGCCCAAAGCGGCTCCGGTGAACCCTGCAATCTTAGCCTTTGGGGGAAAACCACGGGTCGGCCGGGCTGGAGTGGTCGCTGAGTGGCTGAGCCGAGTCTGGCCCGTCGCTGGAGTTTTCCTCCGCACGTTCGGTCCGTTCTGCTGTGGACGGGTGGACAATGGGCAGACCGACACGGAGAGTCTGGGGTTGAGGGTTGAGAGTTGAGACCCGACGATTCAGGGGCCGTGGAGATTGCCCGATTGGCGTTAGGAGGGCCGCGAATAGATCATGGCTGTCTGCCTGTCAGTCACGCGGGCACCGCCAGAGCAGCGAAAGGGAAATAAATGCAAATGGAAATGAAAATGGCATCGGGGAGCCCGCGTGATGGCCTCGGGCTGCCGACCGACCGACCGGATGCGGCCGCCCTCCGGCCTCACCAGTCACCAACTTCCTCAGCCCAGCCTGGCCGATGACCAATCTGGCCGCAAGAGGCAATGCCGTGCTATTCCCAGTCCTACTGTGTGCTCCGGGGAAATCGTGGCTGAGGGGTCGGGCCCAAGCCGGCGAAATCGAATCCTGCTGCTCGTCCCGGGCGGACGGTCCCATTCCGGCTTGGCCTGTCCCGGGCACTCGGCGCCGGCGACGATCTGGCCAGCGGCTCGTATGGAAATTGGAAACCCTAAGAACTTCTCTCCCTAGTCACTCTCTCTGCAATGGCTGCCCCACCCGGTCCGGCCCAACGTGCTTTTCTCCAGACTCGGCCTGATCAATCCTGGCTGAGTCTGGGGCCCCGGCCGCATGGCTGGCCCGATGCCCTGATTCCGGTCGGCGTTGGCCGCGGGGAGCAGGCCAACGGGGGTTATAAAAGGCTGGTGTGTCCCCGGTGGTGGAAAGCTATCTTCCTCTTCAGCTTCAGCTTCAGCTTCAGCTTCAGCTTCATCTCATACAATCATCTCCATCTCTCTTGCATACCTCACATTATCTTTGCCTGACACTACTACTTCATACTAGCATTGCTTGACACAACTGCTTGATATTATCACTGCTTGACTATCATCGCTTGACTATACCTGATACTATCCCTGCCCACACTGCCTACACTGCTTGATACTCCATCCATTGACACACCTGATCTGCCACCTACCCCTACAATGGGCTTGATGCTGAAGAAACCCGCCGATGCGGTGGGCTCGGCCGCCCCCGCCATCATGATCGGCCTGTTCGTCTCCTTTGGCGGCATCCTCTACGGCTATGACACCGGCACCATCAGCGGCATCCTCGCCATGAAGTACTGGCGCAAGCTGTTCTCCACCGGCTACATCAACCCCTCCGACGACTACCCCGACATCACCTCCACCCAGTCCTCCATGATCGTCTCCCTGCTGTCCGCCGGCACCTTCTTCGGCGCCCTGTGCGCCGCCGCCGTGGCCGATCGCCTCGGCCGTCGCCTGGCCATGATCGTCGACTCGTTCGTCTTCTGCTTCGGCGTCATCCTGCAGACTGCGGCCACCCGGATCCCCCTGTTCGTGGCGGGCCGCTTCTTCTCCGGCTTCGGGGTTGGTCTGCTGTCGGCGACCATCCCCCTCTACCAGTCCGAAACCGCCCCCAAGTGGATCCGAGGCACCATCGTCGGCGCCTACCAGCTGGCCATCACGATCGGCCTGCTGCTGGCGTCGATCGTCAACAACGCCACCAAGGACCGCATGGACACGGGCAGCTACCGCATCCCCATCGCCCTGCAGTTCGCCTGGGCCATCATCCTGGTGGCCGGCATGCTGGTGCTCCCCGAGACCCCGCGCTTCCTGATCAAGAAGGGCAAGCACGAGGCGGCGGCCAAGTCCCTCGCCCGGCTGCGACGCATGGACGTCGACGACCCGGCCCTGGTGGACGAGCTGCTGGAGATCCGCGCCAGCTACGAGTACGAGCTCAGCCAGGGTCAGGCCACCTACCTGGACATCGTGCGCGGCTCCATCGGCAAGCGCTTGGCGACCGGATGTGCGGTGCAAGCCCTGCAGCAGCTGGCTGGGGTCAACTTTATCTGTAAGCATCCCCCTTTTCTGTCTGCCCTCCCCAATATGAATTCACCATCTGACTCATGCATCCAGTCTACTACGGCACGACCTTCTTCGAGCGGTCCGGCATCCAGAACAGCTTCCTGATCACGCTGATCACCAACATCGTCAACGTGGTGTCGACCTTCCCCGGGCTGTACATGGTGGAGAAATGGGGCCGCCGGCCGCTGCTGCTGTTCGGCGCGGTGGGCATGTGCGTGAGCCAGCTGATCGTGGCGATTGTGGGCATGACGGCGGCGTCGACGGTGGCCAACCAGGTGCTGATCGCGTTCGTGTGCATCTACATCTTCTTCTTCGCCAGCTCGTGGGGCCCCGTGGCGTGGGTGGTGACGGGCGAGCTGTTCCCCCTCAAGGCCCGCGCCAAGTGCCTGTCCATCACGACGGCGACCAACTGGCTGCTGAACTGGGCCATCGCCTACGCCACCCCCTACATGGTGGACTCGGGCCCGGGCAACGCCAACCTGCAGTCCAAGGTGTTCTTCATCTGGGGCGGGTTCTGCCTGGTGGCGGTGGTGTTCGTGTACACGTGCATCTACGAGACCAAGGGCCTGTCGCTGGAGCAGGTGGACGAGCTGTACTCGAAGGTGTCGGTGGCGTGGCGCTCGACGGGCTTCGTGCCCTCGGCCGAGCAGACGGAGCTGCGCGAGACGGACAAGGCCGAGGCCCGCTTCTGCGAGGTGGAGGGCCCGAAGCGCGAGTCGCAGCATGTCGAGACTGCCTGATTTTGTTTCTTTTCTGCTGCAGCGTTTCTTTGCATGGATATGATTGGGATGGTTAGCCTGTACAGTATTGCATTTACATCGTCACGAGCCACGAGTCAATGACATCGATTGATGGATTTATCACGGTCTCCCACGTCCAGTCGCCTTATCGTAACTTGATCCGCAACTTAATCGGTATCTTGTGCCCAATATTAATTGAGGTGAATAATCCCATGTCATCCATCTCATCATCTGCCACCTCACCGTCATGCCTGCCTGCCTGACACAGTGCCTCAGGCTGTCATCAGGCTGTCAGGCTGTCACACGTGACTTACCCCCCCCCCTTCCGGGGCTGCCCCAGGCACCCTCACACCAAGGTACAATGGCTACTGGGTGCCCCCAACCTCAGGCCGGCTCCTCCCCGAGACCAGACGATCGCATCGGCATCGCCTCCTTTTCGGGGCCTCCTGATTTCTGCTCCCCTCCTGATCTCCCCTCCTGATCTTCTCTCCTGACCACCATGCGGCCCTTGTCCCCCCTCCTAACACCACCATGTTCATCTCCGACCTCGACCCCGACGAGCGCGGCCTGTCGTCCAGCGTCGCCCGCAGCCCCGACCAGCCTGTCCGCGACAACAAGTCGCCCTACTTCGACACCACCGAGGTCGGCGTGTTCGATGCCTATCCCTCCACGCCGCGCCCGGACGACTTCAAAGACTACGAATTGCGGGATCTGACTGCCCCCGGCCACGACTCCGCCACCACCGAACGCCTGCTGGGCGAAGACGGCCCCCCGCCCGCGAAGACGGCGCACCCTCTGTTCCCGCCGCTGCCCGTCTACGGCCCTCCCTCGCTCGCCTCCGCCCTCCAATGCCTCCTCCTCCGCAGCGTGTCCTTCGTGCTGTCGCTGCTGTTCCTCGTCGTCGTCATCATCGGCGCCCTCGTGCACACCGCCAGCGCATCGCTCCTCGGGCGCGGCCGGCAATTCTCCGCGGAGGAGCGGTCACGGCGGCAGGAGCGGCGCCAGGCCTCGCGGCGCTGGGGGTCCCGCGCCGACAAGGAGGAGGCCGACGAAGAGGGCCTGGACGAGTGCCCGCCGCTGGAGGGCGGCCCGGACCCGGTCGTGTGCGATGTGGCCTACTACGCGCGCCGCGTCGGGCTCGACGTCGAGACCGTCAAGGTGCAGACCGAGGACGGCTTCGTGCTGACCCTCTGGCACGTCTACAACCCGCAGGAGTACGAGCGCTTGCCGCCCACGGCCCGGCGACGACCTCGGGGACCGCACGGCTTCACCGGCCAGACCAACCCCGACGCGCGGCGGGCCGCCCCGCGCAAGTATCCGGTGCTGCTGATGCACGGGCTGCTGCAGAGCGCCGGGGCGTACTGCGCCAACGACGACGATAGCCTGGCCTTCTTCCTCTGCAAGTCCGGGTATGATGTGTGGCTGGGCAACAACCGCTGCGGCATGGACCCCGAACACACGACGCTGTCCGAGTCGGACCCGCGCATGTGGGCGTGGAATATCCAGCAGATGGGCGTGCTGGACCTGCCGGCGCTGGTGTCGCGGGTGCTGTTCGAGACGGGGTTCGCGCAGCTGGGGCTGGTGTGCCACTCGCAGGGCACGGCGGAGACCTTCATCGCGCTGGCCAAGGACCAGCGCCCCGAGCTGGGCGAGCGCATCTCGGTCTTCTGCGCGCTGGCCCCCGCGGT